TGTGGTTCAGGTTCAGGTTCAGTTCAGGTTCATTGAACCTAAATTTGAACTGAACTGAACCTAGGAACCCTACATCATGTAGTATCGTCAAAGATCACTGCTACCTCCAAACTTGGATTTTCCCAAATAGGCTTTCTGTATAGTGATGAACAGTTCCCCAGATTTACGCAAACATGAACTTATCAAGTATTTGCATTGCCTGAAACCAGTTTGCATTCTTTTGTAGTTCCCAGGGTTCTTTCCCAGTTGTACAAATGCTAGCAAATCTCTCAGGATCACTCCCTGGTGCAACTCGAGTTACAGATCCTCAATTTAAGATCCAACTATCTTATACAGGTTACCATAACACAGGCCTATTTTTCAAAATCGTCATCTGTGGGATTCGAACTCTAGACCTGCACTTGGAGAAAGTGACAACTAAACTACTTCACTAAGCCGCCACACCTCTTAAAACTTTTTATTTAGTTCTTATATATTATACTTATTATTATGTTTTTAGGCTCTAATATATAATTTATTAAAGTAGATATTATTTTTAAGTATTGAAGTTTTTTTTTATGGCATAATTTGGTTATTTATTGACTATTTCGAAGTTTCGCCTTTTTTTAATTTTTTAAATTGTGGAAAATTGCAGTACTCTATAACTTTCAGAAAAAGAATTACTTAGACAACTTTCAAAAAAAGCTAAGAATTATTGATTTTTTTGTAAATTGGTATAAATTTTTATTAATTTATTTATTGTATATTATTTTTATAGAGTTTGATTGATTTCATCATTATTTATTAAAGCATGTATGTATATTTAATTTATTTTTATTTTACTACTTATTTTACAAATCTATTAAATTTTCTGTAGTTTTTCAAAATATTTTTAATTTTCTTAAATATTACAATAATTAATAATTTTTTTATTTTTTATTTATTTATTAGATTTTGTCAATTAACAGGTAGTTTCTTTTGGCTTTTTGTATTAAACTTCAACTTTTTTCATATATTTTCTTTTTCCTTCAAATATTTTTTGACTTGTTGATTATATAAATTTTTAATTTGCTTCAAAAAAATTATATATTATGTAATTGCTTAGAATATATTTGTATACAATTTTTCAAATACTACTAAACTATTACAACTTTTTCATATATTTACAAAAACAATAAAATAATTATATTTTTAGTAAATTTATTTTGAAATTTTATATTATTAATTTTTTTGATTTCTAATTTATATTTTGCTTCTTTTCAATATTTTGTTATACAAAATCTCTTATTAATTTATACAAATTTACACAAATTTTCGCAAAATTTCGCAAGTTTACACATGATTTTGATTTTTGTTGTTTGTATATATTTATAGTTTTACACATGTTTTCGCTAGTTTTCGACTATTTTACGTTTTGCTATATTTAAATTTACTATGCTGTAAATGTTTGTAATTATTACACTTATATAATAGGGTTTTGAAATATAGTGCATCTGTATCACAGTGCATCTGTTTTATGTTATTATAATAATATATATATATTATATACAGTATATATTAATAATAATATAAATATTTATACATAATAATTAGAATATTAGTATTTAAAGCTCTCGATAAATTTTATTTATAACATATTACACAAATCATGCATACAAATTGAATTCATGCATGCATATCGAATAACATTGAACAAAAAAGTACATTGTGAATATGTAAGTCTAACGCTAATATTTAATTGGCTCAAGGTTGAATAAAACAAGCTATGTATCCTTATTTTTTTCTGGACATGTTGCAACATTATGCCCCTTATTCTTGCAGTAACTACAATAATAATCTCTTCTTCGCTTGTTATTAGTTAAATTCTTTGCTTTTTGTTGATTAACAATATTATCATTACGATGAGCTGATAATTTTGGTCTACCTTTAGTAAAGACCTTTAATGGATTTTTTAGCTTAATGTTGTGAAATCAGAAAAATGTGACCTAGGAATCGCTACGCCAACTCACATTATCCCAGATAGGATGATCTCTTACCCTAAAAGGAGTTGCCGGTGATATATTGAATATATCGAAGAAATTAGATATATCCCAGATAACTAATATAATGAAGATATTAGATAAAACTAATTTAATAGTTATAGTAGTTTTATTCAATATAACCCATATAATCAATTTAATAAGAATAATAGATATAAGAGATATAATAATTTTATTAAGTACTAGTAAAATTTTATTATAAATAAAGGCATTATCGCCTCGAGAAAAATTATGTCTCGTTTTTGCTTCAGTAATAATTAAGTCCCAAGTTTATTAAAATACATTTGCTCATAACCTTATATAAAATACTATTACACTAAATACAATCTTTGAATCCTGAAAATCGTACTTTGTTGCTCATTGTGACCTTGCTCATGTGACATAGTGTCACTGTCCCAAAGTAACTGAAGTCTTAATCACCTTCTAGCTAAATCTAACACACCTCTTTCATAAGGTTACTTACTGTAGATTACGTGAGTTTTTGGATTGTGAAGCAACTGACTCGCTGTATTTCTTACTCAACAATGTTAACACTTGTATTTTCTTTATCTAAATCATCATTATTATCATTTGGGGTGGAGTCAATAGAAAAGGGACAAATTTTTTCTAAGTAAAAGTTTTCTTGACTTTAAACTTAAATATCTTAGCAATTATCTTATCAAATTTAATAATTGTTTTTTTATTTTAATTCTTTATAATTTCAAAATTAAAACAAAAAAATTTTGAGCAAATTTGATTAATTAGTTGTTGAGATATTTTAATTTAAAAATTAAAAAAATTTCACTAAAAACAATTTGTCCCTTTTCTATTGACTCCACCCCATTTTCAAAATCAATCGCTTGTTGAGCCTGATACTCTTTTTCATATTCATATATATTAGATAGATAGCCTTCTATCAAATTAACAAATTTTTTATCTTGATATAGAAGGCACTTGCTTGTTGCAGGGCGAACTAATCCTTATACTTCTCCATAAAACAATTGTTCCTTTATAAGACTATTATTTACATTATTTTGCTCATGATCATTGAATAGTTGAAGATATTTAAAATACTGATTATGTTCTACTTCCTTGTCTATATTAGAATCTGTTGCACTATTCATAAACCTTTGTCCATAATAATTACGATTCATTATTTTATCAGTACAATACTTTAGAGGAATCCACCGAATATTAATAAGCTATATATTAAATTTTGCCACTTTAGTAATATTCAAAAGATGGAAATAGTGTCGGCAAACTAGTCACCATTTTTGTTGCAGCAAACATATACAACTGTATAATCCATCGGTAAGACAAATAACCATATGATTTATGTTATAACCTGTAATTCTTGAAACGTTTCAAATCTCATTAATTTTTTCAAATCTAATCGCTGTAAAAGGAATTGAGCACACATAAAAACATTGTCTAGTTCATCTTTGAAGTTCTCACTTTCAGATGGATTATTTGCAGGTACGCTCCTTACTTCTTCAATACTTGAATGATGTGCCATGTAATAAATATTTTCTTTGAGTTGACTAACAATAAATCGTGCAACATTTGGTTCAAGTAATGATCAACAAGTATTTTAATTTCAGAATAAATTGTCAATATATTATTTGTTGAAGGAATTTCTCTAATTCGCTCTTCATACTGTTTTTGTTTTTGTATTTCCTCAATACTACTAATAATAAATTTACCAAGTTCACTTAGGCTTGTATTACTACTTTCAATGATTTGTTTAATTCCAGCATTCTGACTTTCTACAAATGACATGAATTCAATACCAAGAGTAAATAATGTGGTCACAAATCCACGTGCCATAACCTATGCCATTCATACAAGTGTCTTTGAAGATATTGATTAGCACTTGGATATTTCATAATTAATTCTTCACAGTAATGATTAAATAATTTAGGGGTATCAGTGTTACGACATCTCCAGAATATAGAATAAAAATCATTAAATGATGGACCAAGTTTCCTACAAAGTGTTTTTTTGATATTTTTCTTTAAGTGCCAAATGCAAAGAATGTGGTATGTCACTGGATATTCTAACATAATTGCATTTTCTATCGCAGGGTCTCTATCAGTAATAAATATATTAGAAGTTCATCCTTGGGTTGCCTTTTTTGTTATAGATAAAACCCACCAGTATGAGTCTGTTGTTTCATTGCTTATAAGAGCTTGTGCGACTATTTTTGATTTCATATTATTAACCTGAACCACGAAAAGTGACAGTGGCATATGATACCGGTTTGTTCTTGCAGTATTATCATGTTCGATAGATTCTCCAAATTTATACCACATTATTATTTGTTCTGGGCTCATTCAGAAAATGCTAGTGAGGGTATTCGATTCAGTTTCCCAGACCACTTTCACAAACCACTAAGGATCCTCATATTGTTTAGATAACAACTCTTCATAAAACCGTGCAGCATCACTCTCATTAAACCGTGCTGATGGTCTATGCCTTTGAATTTCAGCATAAAGGTCCTTTGTAAAGATAGAATGGTAAGGATACTTCTTGATAAGAATTCGTCTAATTAACATTGCACTGTTTAATATAAAACTCTATATCATTTCGCATTGTTTCAGTAAATGCTTTTAATTTTTCAAATTGTAGTGCATCAGGACACATCTCATAATTATGTTGATTTACTAATTTTGTTACATAAATGTAAGAATTTGGATTCTGTTTAGTAGGCCTTGAGAGATTTATATGCCATTGGCAATTTAGCTTGACTGATTTCCTTGGGTTTTCGGGGTCTGCTAGTTTATATTTACCAGAATATTGGCAGTAAATAGTATGCTTTCACATTATTTTTTCATCTTCAGTCATTTTAATTGTTGCATTTCTGCCTATTTTTACTTTGAAATCTATAAACTCTGCATATTTTCATATATAGGTTTCAGCATTATCAAAGTTATCAAATCTTTGATCTTCTTTAAATATAAGCATATTAACATTTTCATCACATGTATTAGTATCTATATCTTCATAGTTGGCTTTATTTTATTTTATTTTATTTTTTCTTTGATAACCGCGTACTAAAATTTTATTAAATGTAAAATGCTTAATACAAGACCAAGCTATCTAATAGGGTATTAGACTAAAAGCCGGCTGTCTCTCTGAGATGCTCAACCTTGGTTATCGCACTGATATTGGCCACTATACCCCATATACGGTGTGCCGTATTTAAAGATATAATATAGCCAGGGCTCAGCTTCCACCTCAGGACCTCTTTTCCCTTCTAATTCTTCCTTCTTCTCAAGGGGCACGAGACAAAAGGGGGAAAAGTTTAAACCAAAAAAGACAAATACTGGATCATTTTAATAACAAAATACTATTGGTTATTATGTTTTCTTATAAAATTACTATAAAATCAATAGTATTTTGTTAATAAACCGTTATCCAGTGGTCCAAATAAAATGATTTTAGTACCATTGGATTTGTCTCACTTAGACGAATCGAATGATACCAAAATCATCCTGATTGGACCACTGTGTCATAATATATCCAAGTTTTTATAAAATTTTATATATAAACATATAGATTTTTAAAAATTTTTTATATAGTCTAAAGGGGGGTCAAGAGCTACTATGTAGGGGTATATAACGTTATATATGGATGCCCCCTATTTCAAATACCAGTATAACTAGTAAATTCAACCAGGTAATTAGTTGTCTTCTTTTTACCTTTGCAACTAATACATATATTTGTTAAATATAAGTTAGGCTTTTATTTCTTTAGAACCAAAAAAATTAGTAAATTATTGCTTATACACTTAATTCTAAATACTATATTTCTACTTGCAATATAGGACTTGCACTTGTTTCCTATTGCCTTTTTATTTTGATGCTATAATGCTTTCCAATCACAACTAGTATCTGTTTTACTTCCATATTTTTATATAGCATATGAGCTTCACTGCTCTGCTTTAGTTCTAAGACCAAGTAATGTTTTGGCTACTTTTTTTGTTGTTAACTCTACTAGTGCTTTGTTTATATACACTTATATAACTTGCAGTAATTGTTTTTAACTGGTAATATTGAAAACTTGATCTAACTGTATCCCTTCTTTTGCTAGTTGATTAGCCTTTTTATTTCACTTTACTTTACTATGTGCTTTAACTTTAACTAGATCAAGTGCAATATTCTTTAACTTGCAGATATTCTAAATCTTAATTACCAAGTCAATATTCAGCTTCTTGCTTCATGATCTCATATTAGTTAATACTACTGCATCAGATAAACTTGCTATTGCTGCAGCACTATCAAGCTTAATAACCACAGTTGCATTTAACTATTAATAATAATATTCAAATTGCTACTAATTTAACTTTTGTTGATGATAGTTATCTACTAATTCAAACCTTTCCTTATAATATCATCTCTCTTTTACTACTATCTACCAATACCCAACCTGCTTCTATTTTACAATCTAAGCTATCTTTAATTAATAACTCATCTGTATAAAAAATATAACTACTACTTTCATTGTTATAATTAATTTCTAATTGCTATACTAACAATAACTCAAGTACTAAATCAAAACTCTGCTTTATAACCAAACTCTTTTCATATAAATACATAACTATAGTATCTATTAGTAGCCTCTTATCATCCTTTTCTACAACTACATTGCTCTCTAACTTAAACCCTTTGACTTTACTTATTAATACTGGTATTTTCTTACTTTTATTTATACCTAACTTAGGAATTGCCTCCTAGTACTTTACTCTTACTAACCTATTGCTAGTATATATTACCTTCAGTTTTTTAATCAAGATTGCATTTGTTATATTCTACTAATATATTACAACTATCTTTTATTAGTATATATTTCTAGTGATTAACCAAAAGCTATATTTTCATTATCTTCTTAACTCTACCCACTGTTGACTTAGTATTCTCCTTGTTTACTATTACCTATTCACAACACTTCTTGTCATTTGATACCCTTTCTGCTATAATCTGTATATATAATATATTTCTTGCTAATAACCTTACACATTTACTACTATAGGTTTCCGAAAATAAGCTACCCTTTTTTGGCCAAAAAGTTACACAAAAATCATGGGTAGCTTATTTTCGGGTAAAACTTTGAAAAAGTTAATTTTTAATATTTTTTCAAAATTCTATTAAGTAAATCGATAAAAGTCACTTAATAGGAGTTGTTCAGGCATGGTGTGCGATTTAGTGTAGTGGTCTAGTCGTCACCCTTTCCAAGTAGCAGGTCTAGAGTTCGAATCCCACAGACGATGATTTTCAAAAATTAGTCTTGTATTCAGTTAACGGCTATGCTTATTGGGTAGATCTAATCTGTAACTTCGGTCACACCATCTAATAATGGAAGTAATAGCACAATAAATCTGAGAAATTGGCATAACCGAAAACCTATTTGGGAAGTCCCGAGTTAGGAGTAGCAGTGATCTATAATGGTATTACAAGAGGGCTGAATTCGAACTGGGGCCCAAAATCGGTGAACCGAGCAACCAGGTCCTAATAGCGGAGGACACACCAGCCGAACTGCCGGGTCTGTCGCATTAGAAAAAAAAGACATACACTCCAAAAGTATATACCAAGGGGAGGGCGTCCTTTAGGTATCTAAAGCCTGGACAAGCTGACCCTTCCGGGTTGTCGGCTAGAAGTAAAGGAGAGACCAATAAAGAATCTGGGTAAGAAGACGGTTTGAATGTGGGTACCAGGGTTGTTGTGAACCTATACAAGGGCAGAAGTAGGTAACAGACTAATTAGAAAGGTTGTGGCTTGTCGGATTGGGTAGCGGCAGCACCCTTAGAGGTGGCTTGAGATATGAACTTGGTTATGGCGGCATAATTGGTACTAGTTAGATAAGAGGTTTAATGGTTAGCTCTGACCCCGAGTGTATAGGTCAAGCAGTAGGGTGAAAAAGGGAGTTCTGGTCCACTTTTTTCACATCTTTATATGACATATTGTTAAAAACTGCTTTAATTGTCATCCACTATATTTTATAGCACTTTTATATACTTTAGCTTGGTGTAAATTTTTATATAGCTAGAACACATTCATTTACATCAAAAAAGATAACATTTTATTATAGTAGAGTATAAATCTGCACTTGTGTTGTCACTCAAATGACGATAAATTTGTGTCTGCATCATCATTCTAGTATAGTGATATTAATTTTTATAAAGTAGAAGCT